AGAAGAGAAGATGCTCCTCTACTGGCTTTGGAGATGGAGAAGGAGCCACAAGCCAAAAGAGTGCGGGAGGCCTTTAGAAGCTGGAAAAGCAAGGAAGGGGATTCTCCCTAGAGCCTCCAGAAAAAAACACAGCCCTGCCAACATCTTGATTTTAGGACTTCTGACCTCCAGCACTGTAAGACAACAAATTTCTCTTGTTTTATCCACAAAACTTGTGGTAATTTGCTAAAGCAGCAATAGGAAACTAACACAAATACTCTTTATAATTTAAGAAGTTTATCTTTATGCTTATATAATTTTTAAAAGTACAAAGATAGGTAAAAAAGAACTAAAAGTGAAATAATTATATTGACAGGAGGAGTGGGGGAGATTAACAGGCATAAATTTTCATCTAACAGCATGTTGATTAGTTGAGAAATATCATTAAAGTGTATTATACAAAGAGATGGAGAACTGAAGAACTAAAACAAAAAACCAATTAAAAAAAAATGGCTAGCCCCAGAAAGAGGAATGGAGAGGGTTAGATAAGGAGACTCTAGCTTTAATTATAAATCCTTTGATTAAAAAAATTAGGGGTTTAACTATGGACGTCTTTTTAAAAATGTGAATATTAATTTTTTTTTTTTTTTTTTGGCTGCGTTGGGTCTTTGTTGCTGCGCACGGGCTTTCTCTAGTTGTGAGCGGGGGCTACTCTTTGTTGCAGTGCGCAGACTTCTCCTTGTGGTGGCTTCTCTTGTTGCGGAGCACGGGCTCTAGGCATGCGGGCTTCAGTAGTTGTGGCTCACGGGCTCTAGAGCGCAGGCTCAGTAGTTGTGGCGCACGGGCTTAGCTGCTCCGCGGCATGTGGGCTCTTCCCGGACCAGGACTCAAACCCGTGTCCCCTGCATTGGCAGGCGGATTTTTAACCACTGCGCCACCAGGGAAGCCCCGTGAATATTAATTTTTAAAGTAGGAGTGTGTGGCGGGAAGCCTCCGAGAGCTTACTGGGCTCAGGTTCTCCAAAGCTCTAGCTTCCAATCTACCTGAAACCAACTTACAGCTTCCATCGTACCCACAGATACTCCCCTAACCTCTTACTCAGCCAACAGCTTCCTTTATCTCAGTCTCGGCATAAGACAGCGCCAACTGGTAGGTCCTCCTGAAATAAGGCATGAAAAGGCAGCATTGCGTGAGGAATATTCCCAGGATTGGGACCAAGTCCTCTAAGAGATCTGGAGCAAACCCACTAAGCCCCTGTAGGGCAGGCAGACCTTGGGGTTCCCTCACAACGGTAACAAAGGACCTGGGAGAGCTGAGAAGAGAGAACTGCCTCCTGTTGCCAAAAAAACACTGATGTAGGAGCCCAAAGGAAAGGGCTGAGGCTAGCTCTGCCATGTACTAGCAAGTCCCTTTCATCCGGGCTTCAGTTTCTCACCGATGAAATTAATAGGGGAAGAAATTCATCTCCCAAATCTTTCAGCTCTGTGCGTCCTTCTTTTCCCTGCTTCAGCAACATCCCTCCCTCCAAAGAAGACTGGATAGGCCCTCAGTCAGCCACAGAATCATTATATATTACACTTTAGAGTTTCTTTGAGATGGTCTGCTGCAACCCATTCATTTTTTTTTTTTTTTTTTAGCTGCACCACTTGGCTTGTGGGATCTTAGTTCCCTGACCAGGGATTGAACCCCAGGCCACGGCAGTGAAAGTCCTAACCACTGGACTGCCAGGGAAATCTCCCATACATTTTATATATGGGAAATTGAACCTCAGAGAGACAAAGGTGTTTGGTCAGGGTCACACTTGGTAAGAAGTGTGAGAACCTTTGGGTTCTCTTCTGACCCCTCACTTAGACCCTAGGGTTCCGTGGCCATGATTTGCCATATGAAGGTACAGAATAGTACCTGTTTAATATGCAAATAACTTGTGTCTGAGTTTTTAAAAATACAGTATAAGATGCCACTATGGAAAAAATATAACCATATAAAAGAAGATGAGTGGTTATATTAGTTTCCTATTGCTGTGTAATAAATTACCACAAACTTCGTGGCTTAAAGTGACATACATTTATTGTCTCACAGTTTCTCTGGGTCAGAAGTTCAGGCATGGCTTAACTGGGTCCTAAGCTTATAGGGGCTTACAGGCTGCAACTACGTGTTGGCTGAGCTATAGTCTCATCTGGAGGCACAACTGGAAAATAATATTCCTCCAAGCTCGCTCAGGTTTCTGGCGCAACTAATTCCTTTGCTGTTGTAGGACTGAGGGCCCCAGCTTCTTGCTGGCTGTCAGCTTCTTGCTGGCCCTCAGCTTCTTGCTGGCCCTCAGCTCCTAACCTTATGGGCCTTCTAACATGACCACTTACTTCTTTAAAGCCAACTAACTTTGAAGTCTCTAGAGTCTGCTAGTAAAACAAGACCTTATATGACGATGTAATCATGAAAGTGACATTACATCATCTTTGCCACATTCTATTGGTTAGAAGCAAGCATAGGTCCCACCCACACTCAAGAGGAGGAGATAAACAAGGGCATGGATACCATAAATATCAAAGGAGGTGGAATCTTAGAGTCTATCACCACAGCGGTGAAAATAGTGTGTGTAAAAAGGACTGAGGAGTTCCCTGGTGGTCCAGGGGTTAAGACTCTGCGCTTCCACTGCAGGGTGCGTAGGTTTGAGCCCTGATCCCTGTTCGGGGAACTAAGATCCCACATGACGTGTGGCACGGCCAAAAGGAAAGGGGGGTGGGGACTGAAATGTCTACTCCTGTCAAGTCAACTGAGAAGAGGGCTAAGTTTTAGCCATTGGATTTGGCAACAGGAACCATAGTTGCCACTGGCAAAAGCAGTTTCAGTTAAATAATAAGGATGAAAGTCGGCTGAGGTAGATTCAAGAGAATGGAAAATGAGAAATTGGAGAGAGTGAATAGAGACTACTCTTTTAAGGAATTTTGCTATGAAAGGAAGCAGAGAGATGAGAGATTAAAGGTACTATGGTATGTTTATATGTTCATGGGAATGATGCCGTAGAAAGGGAAAGGCATGGGGCAAGAAAGAGGGGGAGAAAAAAAAAAAAAAAAGAAAGAGGGAAGGATCATTGCAGGAGGAAGACTCTTGAGTAGGTGAAGGAAAGGGGATGAGATCCAGTGCTCAAGATAAAGGGACTGAGGACAGGATGAGGATGGCTCAGCCACTTTCATGGGAGAAAAAGCCTCATATATGGATTCAGACACAGGTCAGTGGATAGATTTAGTGGCTGGAGGATAAGGAAGTTCTCTTCTGATTGCTTCTGTTTTCTCAATGAAATGAGAACAATGCCATCGGCTGACAGGGGAGAGTAATGGAGGTTTGAATAGAGAGAAGGTTTGAATAGAGAGAAGAGGTAGGAAATAGTCCTCTTGAAGAGTGGAAGAACCACATAAATAAGACAAAGAGTAGATTTTCCCTGCGGTGCTAGGACCCACCTGAGGTTTTCATAAATTTAAAATGTGACGGGTTGGCAAATCCGGCTGTTGTTCTCTAGCCACATTCAGCTACTTGGGTGTAGTCTCAAAGTAGAGGCAAAGGTGCATCCGGTCAGTGTTGTGGCTTTGGAAGGTGGATACAATACAAGGAGAGGGATGAGAGTGTATGGCAGGGAGACTCCACAACTGACCAATCACTGGGTAAAAAGGGGAATGAAGCTATGAGGGGGCGAAGAGCAGTGGATGGGTCTCAGAGCAGCATCAGTGGACAGGAGGCCCTGACGTGGTCAAAGATCTGGTAGGGTCTGCAAATTAGTGGATGTGAGATGGACCAGTAGGTGTTGGTGAGGCACCCAGAGAATGGGATGCTTGAAATAGAGACTTTGAAAGTAGTGTAGGAACACAACATTGTAAATCAACCATACTTCAATAAAACTTTTTTCAGAATAGTGCAGGTTTTGATAATGACAAGGTCTGGGGTGTGATGGTGGGAGTCAGTGTGTGGAGGACAAACTGAAAGAAAAGGTGGTCAAGGACGTAAGAGGCTGGAGTACAGGTGATTCCTTTATGTGGTTGAACTAATCAAGAATGATCATAGGGAAATGGTGGAGGGAGAGAGAGAGGGTAAGAAAGGGAGAAAGAGAGAAAGAGGTTGTTAAGTAGAAGAGGGGGCGGCCCTGAGGGCTGTGCATGCCGCAACAAGTAGAGGTGCTGCGGACTGCTGTCATGTGTTCCAAGGGAGCTGTCTTAGAGAGGAGAGAGGAAAGCAGCCCTCTCTTAGAGGCCTGCAGAGGAAGCAGTGACCTCAGGAGGAAGCCACATGTTGTTACAGCAGCAAGGCGAAGAGAACATTGCTGTGCAGGGGACTTCCCTCTTCCTCAGGAAAACCTTCCTGATCCCCTTTATAAGAGTAACTGCTTTTGTTACACACACTCAGCCTTGCTAAATTTTCTTTCAGAGCGCTTATCACAGTTGAAATTTTTTAAATTTATGTATGGGAAACCCTGATTGATATTCATGATTTCCAGCTAAGCTCATGGAAGGCAGGGACTGCACCCTGGCCCCGGTGGATCCCCAGCACCCAGCGGAGTGGCCAGCATGGGGGTATTTCATCAGAAGGAGGAAGAGAAAGAACAGACTCGTAGAGCAACTGTGAGGCGTCTCCGTGTTGAGGGTAGGAGAAGCCCATCTATCCATCCATTCATGCTTTTGGCCATTTGTTCTTCCCAAGGAGCAGAGCCTGCATCACAACAGGCGAGGCAGGCAGTGCAGTATTTAAGCTCCTGAGCCTTCTATGGCTCAAGCAGCTGAGAGCTGGGCGTTGCAGCTCCTGCATGCCAAACCTGTGCTTGCTCAACCCCTGCCAAAGCCATGACCGCTCCCAGCCCCTCACCCGCACAGTGCTTGAGCGCAAGAGTGAGGTGTCTGCCTGCCTGGGGCGGGAGGCACCTCCTTCAGCAGCCCAAGGAATGCTCCGGTGGCCCCCAGGGAGTGTCTAGCAGCATCTCCAGCAGGTCTCCTCCTGCCCGGAGGAGGTCAGCGGGATCTCATAAGTCTCCTTACCTCCCCGACAGGAGCTCCTGGGCCTGAGATCTTGCACCTGGAGACTTTTATGGGAACTTTTTCCTTCTTCTTTCCAGTAACTCCAGGAGCTAAATCTTGACAGACAGGCAAAGAGAGATTTAGAGAAGTTGTGTTGGTGGCAAAAAATAATGCTCCTTAAAGATAATTTTTAAATCCTAAGCATAACCCTTTAGGGGTCCATTTACTCAACATTACTGAGCACCTGGGCATCGTGGGGCTACAGCAGTGAGCACGTGACATCATTCACGTCCCTGCCTCTAAGGCTCTCGCAGCCCAGGGAGGAAGAGATGTGCACACAAAACTGAAATAACAGAGAGAATGACATGGGTGAAGTGCCTCAAACATAGTTGATACTCAGTAACTGATGGACAAATTAACTTTTGAAAAACCTGGATTTACATATCAATTAATTTCAATATATATTACCATGTATAACTGAATACCATTCAATTGGATAAATGTATCATCATTAATTTCCCTAGCATTATGACTTGACAAATAGCTTGCTTATAATTTTACATGTATAACTAAGGCTGTAATGAGTACCCTTGAGTTTACATACATGTTTGAACACTCCCTATTATATCCTATAGGTAAACTTCTAAATATAAAATTGATAGTCAAAATGTGCTAATTTCCATCTAATACATATTTTCCACTGTCTATTGGAAAGATTGTAACACACAAGGAAGAGGAAACCTTCAAGCATTTTATGGGAGGGGAGAGAACATTGAACTAGATGGCTTCTAGGATGCTGGACAACCTGTAGTTAAGATCGCAGAAAAACACACTCATTCCCATCCTGCTTTTGTGACTTCCATGTTAGCTGTGTGACCTTGGGCAAGCTCTCCCCAACTCTGAGCCATAGGTAAAATGGTGAGAATAAGTCCTATTGCTTAGAGTTGTTGAGAGGGTTGAAGGAGACAATGGGTATTAAGCTCAATGTGGGCAGCACTTATAACAGGGATTTCTCCCTCAGATTGTGGGCAGGGCTAAGTCTGGTTCTGGTATCCTGTGAATTTTCTGTCACAACTTTACCCATTTCATGGGGAGCTTTCTCCTCAAGAGCCCACAAAGCAGCAGAGGAAGGAAATGTCCTTTATCACTTATCCCCAGAAAAGCCCCAAATTAAGGTCAGGCCACCTGTCCTGGAACCCTGAGTACAATTAGGGCCAGACTTAGCCTCAGTGCCAAGGGAACAAGAGAGAGTAGATCTGAGAAGCCATGGGACACATCAAACTCACCTCTGCTTGGGCGAGTCAGGGCCTGGAGATGCAGCCAGGGAAGTGAGGGGCGAGCTGGGCCACCCCTTTCTCCTGCCAGCATCGCCACATGTCCCTCAGTAAAAACACTGGATTTCGAGGACTGCTTTTCTGCCATGAAACAATGTGGAAAAGTCATAGAAATTGAGAGTAGGAAACTACATTGTAGGTTTTGCACATCCCTGCCTCCCATCAGTCAGGGTTAGGGTAGGAAACCGTATTTTACACAGGAAAATACCAGAAATAGATTTCATAATGGGAATTAGGGGCTTACAGAGCCATTAGGAGGGTCGGAGGAGGGGGCTGTAGACTGGACTTACAGGAAGGATTCTCAGAACAATGCCTCTGAAGTGGCACCTGGGGAGTCACCACCTCCCCCATAATCAGGAAGGCAGGGAAGCAGGAGACCCCTGGAACCACTGTGGTCAGGAACCCAAGGCTGCTGCTGTGACCCAGGGATTGGGACTGGGGCCTGCCGCGGCATGCCTCTAGACAACCTCGAGAACAAAGCCAGGATGACTCTATAGAAAAACCCCTCCTCTTTACAGCCTCTCCTGACAGCAGAAAACAGCCTGAAGCAGCAGATATCCTCCACCACCTTTTGACCTTCCTGTTTTATAGACAGAACTGTAGCTTCCAGGAGTATAGGAGATGTAACTAACTGTTCCCTTTCCAGCCTCTGCAATAGAGGAAGACACACCAAAAAGATGTGGGAATAGAAACTACCAGTCAACCGTGTCCTGCATACCTTGATCTCTGCTTGAATACCCTTACTGACAGGGAGCTCACTACCTCAGCAGTCTTCTAGGGAGAACGTTGGAGAGATCTGAGGACTTTCTTTTTTTTTTTAATTTTAGTATCATTGAATTACAATGTTGTGTTAATTACTGCTGTACAGCAAACTGACTCAGTTATACATATATATATACACACATTCATTTTCATATTCTTTTCCATTATGGTTTATCACAGGATATTGACTATAGTTCTCTGTGCCATACAGTAGGACCTTGTTGTTTATCCATTCTATATATAATAGTTTGCATCTGCTAATCCCAAACTCCCAATCCAACCCTCTCCCACCGCCCCCGCCCTTGGCAACCACAAGTCTATTCTCTATGTCCCTGAGGGCTTTCTTAGATTAGTAGGAAAGCTGCTGCACCATATGGCCTGCTGTTGACCTTCACCCCACCTGGATGCACAGCACTTTGTGCTCCCTTATCTTAATGACAGCCCTTCAAGGAGGGGCAGGGCATGAGTCTGGCTGTCCTAATTTCCACAGAGTCCTTTCAAGCGCTTCTCCAAGACATAGTTTCCTGGGCCCTGACGTCTTAACTCTCACCTTCAGACAGGTTCCAGTCGTACAAGATCTTTGATAAAGTGAGGAATAGGAACCGAGTCCAGGAGTGCAGCCCCACAAGGAGCTGTCACTTGCACTCTTCAGAGACGGATCCAGGGTGAGAAGTGTGGCACCCAGCGCTTGCTGGGATAGACAGAAACAGTCCCTCTCACCCTCGGCTTGTAGAAAGCAAATGAGTGGTACCCCTTGGAGGATAATTTGTTACTGTGAAAACTTTAAAAGTACATGCCCTTGACCTACTAAACCCACTTCTGAGAATGTATCTAACAGGCAAATTCTCATATATGTAGGAAATCATATGTGCATAATTACCCGTTTCAGCTCGGGAAAGAGCCAAAATACTCACCAGTAGGGGACTGGTTAAATAACCCATGATGCAGCCTCTAACAAAATACTACACAGTTGTAAAAACAATGAAGAATGAGCCACAGCTGTTACACACTGATGGGCACGATCTTGTTCTTTAAAAAAGTAAAGGTAGAAGTGAATTTAATACTGTATAAAGGGGTATAAGCGTATGTGGCCCTCCTAAAAGAAACCTGCCCAAGTACAGTCACCCCTTCCCTGGCTCTTTTGAGTCTCAGTTTTCTCACCTATAAAAATGGGTATTGTGGGACTTCCCTGGCAGTCCAGTGGTTAAGACTCCGCGCTTCCACTGCAGGGAGCACGTGTTTGATCCCTGGTTGTGAAACCGTGCACCGCTGATTGGGACTTGAACCCACGTGTTGGGACTCAAACCCAACCTAAACCCAGACTGGGACTTGAACCCACAGTCTTTTAGTTAGAGTCACTCACCTGTGTCTGGACTTAACTGAGGCTCAGGTTCTTTGTGTCTCAGCGCAGAAGGAATTCAGTGAGAGGCAAAGTGATAGGCAAGAAGTAGATTTATTAATATAGGATGCTTGTGAGGGATACAAGCTGGCAGGTGAGGGGGCTCTGCCCCAAGGATTAAGCAGGCTACATTTTTATAGTCAAAGGAAAGTGGGGGAAGGGGAAAAGACCGCCTTCCTCATTCTTCGCGTAGGCTTACATCACAGGCTCCTCCTTTGTATCAGGCAGGAGCGTGTTTGACCCTATGAGGTCACATTAGCACTGTCATAGCGCTTACTCAAATCAGCAGCAGGGTGGTAACATATACTAAAATATGTTGAATAGTCTCAGGTTTCTGTATAATGAGGGTCTCCTACTTTGGAATGTCACCTTTCCCTTAAATTCCTGTCCTTGGTCCTAAGGATCCCCGTCTTGCTGAACTCCACCAGCAGAATGCAGACCTCATTTTTTTCTTTCACTTAATAACCTGGGCATATCTCATGTTTTTATTTATGGCTTTATAGTTAAACAAGCCTGCTTCGTTGCACGACGTTCCCAATAGTTCTTGAGCGATCGTTAACTTACAGTGTCTCCCAAAGTTCCCTAGGTTTCCCTCTCTATCTATAATCCCCTACTGGGACTTCTACAACTACCTGTGATGGATAGAGTAAGATAGAGTACTATCCTACTCTATCCCTATCAGTCGAGGAGCTAAGATCCCACATGCCGTGCTCAGCTGGCCAAAACAAAAAAGGCGGGGGCGGTGGGGACTAACAGCCTACTTATTGGAAAGATTAAGTAATGTATGCAAAGTTATTTTGTAAATGTTAGAGTACTTGACACTTAAATGGTTGGGGTTTTTTTTGTTTTTTTTTGTTTTTTGTTTGTTTTGCGGTACACGGGCCTCTCACTGCTGTGGCCTCTCCCGTGCTCCGGACGTGCAGGCTCAGTGGCCATGGCTCACGGGCCTAGCCACTCCGCGGCATGTGGGATCTTCCCGGACCGGGGCACGAACCCGTGTCCCCTGCATTGGCAGGCGGACTCTCAACCACTGCGCCACCAGGGAAGCCCCACTATTACTTTTAACATAATTATTGGTTGACGATTCTTACGAGTCTCCCTAGGCCATGGGTCTTCTTAGGAATTTGATAAACGTCGTGAAATTGTAGGCAAAGCTTAATGATTAATGTTTGCTTTTTCTCTGAGAGGATCAATTCTTTATCTCATGGAAAAAGAAATTTGTGATTCACAAAAAGAAGAAAAGTTCTAAATTTTCTGAACAGTCTAGTGGAGTGATAACCCTTTAATTTTCCCCTTGTTTTATAAGTCCATATTATCTTCCTCTAAATGCATTCTTATCTCCAGAGATCAGCCCCTAGAGTCTGTCCTCTGCCTTTCCTTCACCAATGATGTTGGAACCTCCACACCCTCCATCCTCTGAAGTTTGCTGTGCCCTCGGGGCTCTGCCATTGTTCTCTGTGATGTTAGAGGTAACTGGGAGAGTGCCCAAGGTCAGACCCATTTCCTGTCTAACATCAAGTGCTTTTATTTTATATTCTCTGTTCTCCTCTCCCAGGCCACAGAACCTAGAGGCTCTTCCTGCAGAGTGGTGGAGAGGGAGGGCAGAGGAGTCTACCTTCTTCGAATCCTGATGCCACTACTGATCAGCTCTGTGGCATTGGTCAATTTCCCTAAGCCTCAGTTGCCCCATCTGTAAAACAGGGCTAATAGTAGAGAGTTGTTCTCTAGATTAAATGAGACAATAATACTTAGTAAATGGTTACTCTAATTAATTACCCTTATCAATGGTTACTCTAATTAATTACCCTTATCTTAGGAAATGTTCAAAAAGTTCTGCTCCCAGGAAATAATGCATAAAACCTTAAGAAATAAGAGACCCTTGAGAATTGCAAGCCCACTTTACACAAAGAGAAAATGGACCTAGAGAGCGGAAGGGACTTGTCCCAGGTTGCACAGCAAACCAGAGGCAATGCCAGGGTGAAAACTGGGCACTGAGCTCCCAGCACAGGGAGCTCCTGTGCCTCACATGCCCCACTGGATGGGGGAGAAGGGCAGTTACAAATTCTTTTTTTTTAAAACAATGGTTAGCATCTTTTTATTTGCAGGTATCAGGAGCACAAATATATATAGCCAGCTAGTATACTACTAGTCTCTAGTGTGTTGATGGAGCCCCTGATAGGAGGGCTTGGTGCCCTTTCTTTATCCTGTTTCTCTTTTCCTTTTGGCTACTTACTGCTGCAGCCTACTCTCTGTAGTACCTTGTTGTCTGTCCATGTGAGACTAGTCATATACTTACATCATTAATATCAAACTAGAGTTCTTAGTACCCCTGTCTACATGTCTTAAATATTTGGAGGTTTCGGGGTTTTCTTTGATAGACTTTGTTTCTTTTTTATTTATTTATTTTATTTATTTATTTTTGCCGGAACTGGGTCTTCGTTGCTGCACGCAGGCTTTCTCTAGTTGTGGCGAGCGGGGGCTACTCTTTATTGTGGTGCGCAGGCTTCTCATTGTGGCTGCTTCTCTTGTTGCAGAGCCCAGGTTCTAGGCACACAGTCTTCAGTAGTTGTGGCACGCGGGCTCAGCAGTTGTGGCTCCCGGGCTCTAGAGCGCAGGCTCAGTAGTTGTGGATCACGGGCTTAGTTGCTCCGCGGCATATGGGATCTTCCCGGACCAGGGCTCGAACCCGTGTCCCCTGCATTGGCAGGCGGATTCTTAACCACTGCGCCACCAGGGAAGCCCTCCATGTCTTTTCATGGCTTGATAGCTGATTTTTTTTTTTTTTTACTGCTGAATAATACTGCACTGTCTGAATATACCACAGTTTATCTGTCCACCTACTGAAGGACGCCATGGTTGCTTCTAAGTTTTGGCATTTATGAATAAACCTGCTATAAACATTCGTGTAAGGTCCTTGTGT